CAGGAACNTCTTGTCTAATCATTGAGAGAGGATGAGTGTAAGGAATTCTTTTAAAGGATAAGTTTTGGACTCTCTAAGGCAAAACAAAGAAATAGATTCCTTGTAGAAATGCTTATCTCCAATAGTTAAAGTAAGTAAATGAGCTTTCCTTATTTTAAAAAAGTAAGAACATGAGCTTTTAAAAAAAAGGTAAAGTAAATACTAAGAATATGAGCTGTATGGAGAAAGTTTGCTGGTTACACGTATACAGTATGGGATCTTTCACGAAACTTGCCAACCATCTGATTACCAAAATTACAGGGACTAAATATATGTATTCAGCTCGTGGAAATATTCCTGCAATTATATGGCAGTAACTATATACTTGTGCAAGTGATATTCCTACTAATATATGGCAGATTTTGTGTATCAAGATGCTTCTACTCAATGAGTAAGTGTCAATGTAGGTTCTGGTGTTAGTACTGACGTCTGGACAAGCCATGCTGCAACAATAATGGCCGTGTCTGTCGCTCCTTTTCTTGTTGTCCAACTGCCACAGCTCCTCCATTCAACTTCAGGAAGACATTTGGCTGTCTTGATTGCTCTTATCATATCACTTACACTGCTTGTTTCTTATTGTCTCTATCAGGTACTATGACATTGCCCATGTGTTTTTTTCTTCTGTTCACTGTGGTTAACCTCATTTTCTCTTAAGATGCAATGAGATCATCTGCAGAGATCCGCCTTGACAGCACTTTTTGGAGACAAATATAGTTTTTACAGTTTTGAACTGAATTTGTTCAAATAGGCAATAGCAAACCCTATGATTGGCCGTGCTTTAAGTAGTTTTCATCCCTACATGGCCTCGAAAATGGACTGTCCACATAACAACCCGAGTTCAAGTTGAACCTGTATCAAAGGGCAACATGATGCCTCCTCTACACCTCTTCCTCTTCCAAAAAGAACAAGCAAAATAAAGATAAATCTGTTATCATCCTGTGTGCTAGGCTGATAAATAGTTTCATTTTTTTACGCTAGGAATCATGAGGCTTATTTCTTCTCTTCTTCTTATGAAGCAAAGTCGTCCTGAACTTCTCTTCAACTTTTAATGCAGGTCTTTCAGCCTTGGATACAGAGAAGACGACTTGCTTATGTAAAACATAAGCATGTTATATCAGGAGTTTTGAAACATTTAAGAATGCGTGCATTGGGGAGGCTTTGCACTGACCAGGGAGCACCAAATATAGAAGTTTTGGAAAAGTATGTTTGAAATGCTTTCTGCACTGTTTTTATCGTTTTTAGAATGCTGATCAATGTGATGAAGGATCGCATGACAGGCTATTCAAGGCAATTGATGAAAGTGAAGATGGATATCTTTCTCGCTCTGAATTAAAAGCTCTTGTAGTAGGAATCCGTCTTGAGGAGATAAACCTAAATGAGAATGATGCTGTAGAAAAGCTGATGAAAGACTTTGATACTTCTCATGATCAACGAATTGAAAAGTCTGAGTTCATTGCCGGAGTTGCAAAATGGCTTAATGAGGCCAGGGGTTCCAAGGCTCCTTCTATTGAAGCTGGTCCTGATACAATGAAGTACCTCGCTGATATGCATGAGGTTTGTTGAGTGTTGATGAATTTTTCTGACTATCGCCGTGAAGATAGTGATAATATGTAGATGTGCTTGCAGGAAGCAAGAAGAGAACACCATTTCTTAGGGGATCAAAATGACGAAAGTGTTGAGGCTGTTGAGAATCCCAGATCAATTGCTATTAAGGCTGTTCTATTGCTGTTGCTGGGTACTGTCATTGCTGCTGTGTTTGCTGATCCCCTCGTGGATGCTGTTAATAATTTCTCCAGTGCCACAGGCATTCCTTCTTTCTTCATCTCATTCATTGTGCTGCCATTTGCAACCAACTCCAGTGAGGCAGTGTCAGCTATTATCTTTGCTAGCCGGAAAAAGTTGAGATCTGCATCATTAACATTTTCGGAGGTTTGTTTTCCTGATGCAGCTTCTCCGCTTTATTAGTAGAAATTGTGGTTTCGCTACCCATTACTTGCATCAGTGAGCCTGAAAGATAATTAATGAACATTAAGGTGTCGTTTAGTTGCAAAGATAAGGGAAAATAATCCCGAGATAAAATGTAGGATTATTTTTATCCACCTTTGATTGAATTTTATATTCCGGTATAAGCAATCTGGGATTATTTATACCACAATTGTGGTATTATTTTTATACCACACTCAATGTGGGATAACAATCAAGGGATAACCGGGATAAAATAGCAAAATGACACATTTGCCCCTCTCCAAAGCTCTTCTCCTAAGTCTTTTAAGAAAGCCAAGGTTAAAATTTAAAATAAAAATTTATCCAAATTTATCTATTGTAAAACCAAATACATGTTTTAAAGTTAGATTCCTCGTATCCCCTTTTTAGTCCAATGAACCAAACAAGTGTTTGGTACTAAGGAAAAACAAGTCAACTACACGACAATCCCAAGCTAGTTCTAATTGGCTATATGAATCCTCAATATCCATTTCGCTTTATTTTAACCTCTTTCATTTGAATAATCTATAATTTTGATTCTCTAACACTAGAAATTTCTGTACTTTTTACTGACTTACAAATCTCAAACAGAATTAGAAATTCCTAGCAAAAAGTCAGTTGACGGAGACCTCAAGTAGAGATTGAGGTTCTGTTCATTTAGGCATTGGTGCATGACAATCAATTTGTCGTCCCTCATGGGAACAGTAATGGATTTGGTAAAAGATTATTTATAACAAGATTTTGTTTCTCTTAAAGACCTGCTTTAGTGTCAGCGTAAGGCTACTCATAGGAAAGCTTCTCTACTTTTTTCTTGAAATGTAAGGCGCAACGTGTAGTTTGTTTATCTGTATTAGATGTTGCACGATTATATTTTTTCAACTCTCGATTGTTCTATAATGAGCATTTGAGCAGTTTGATCGCTTGTGTCACTGATACAATTACCTAGGTTTGATAACATCTGTGATGGTATCTTGCAGTTGTATGGAGCAGTGACTATGAACAATCTCCTTTGTCTATCAGTCTTTCTGGCTCTTGTATATGCCAGAGGATTGACATGGGACTTCTCATCTGAAGTGCTGGTTATTCTAATTGTTTGCGTTGTCATGGGCGTCTTTGCGAGCGTTCGTAGCACCTTTCCCCTTTGGACTTCTTTGGTAGCGTTTCTGCTCTATCCCTTATCTCTTGTACTTGTATATGTTCTTGACGACAAATTCGGATGGTCTTAGATTCTTATGGTTGAATTCGTATATTTTGAGCTATGCCGCACTTAAGTTGGTCTTGGTGTCCTAGAACTTCATTAACTTAAGAGCTGAGGTGATGTGGTAGTAACTTATAATTTCGAACTGCTGTTTAGTGGTAACAGGTTTTCATTTTTCCCTGTAATAAATCGTCTCTTAAATGTTAAGGTGTCTGCTTTTGCAATTCAGTTTCTCTCTTGTTGATGAAGTTTTGCTGTTTGCACACTTAAAATTTCCCTTTTCTGCTCTTACTCGTGGCTTTTATAGTAATGAGGTTAAGAAATAGCTTTTTGCTCTTTAAAAATATTTCCTGAAATTTTGTGGCTTCTTCCTGGTTAAATCTTTCTCCTTGCGTCCCCCCCAAAGAAAAGGACAGAAATGAGAGAGCCAAGCATTTTTGTCAAAGCTGTTTCTGTTTTAAAACATGGCAGAACAAGTAGCTTTTTAGCTTAAGTCGTACCTTAAATGATTCAAAGATGTTACTATGATACGTTTTCTCCCTTTGACTTAATGATTTATAATAGGATGGACAAAATATTTTTGTCTCAACTTTGCCATTTAATCAAAGGTTATATTTGTCAGTAACTACCATTTGAATCCCCATTAGATTATTATTCATCTGCGATGAAACCCAGGAGACTGACCTTGACCCTTGCTCGATATATATAAGGAGATATAAGACACCAATTTAATCAGATTTGCACTAAAAAAGGGAACGATATTAGAAACCAAGGACTTGTCTAAAACTGAAGCATCTAATAGAGGTTCTGAGCTTCTTTTTCATTTTACTTTCATGAAATTAATCTGGCACAGAATGCGACCCCATTTTGCAAAATATGTGAGTAAATATATGTATCCAACATATAATAGACCGCCACTGTTTGAAAATAATATAAAGTAAATACTAAATGGAGACAGAAAGTAAAACTTTAGTTAGTTCTTGTACTAAAACTTACAAGCCGGCTGAGTAGTGACACTTAGCTGACATGATCGTGTAAAATTCTGCATACGCCATTGATCGTGTAAAATTCTGCATACGTTCATTGATCTAATCCTAGGGATAAAACCAGTTTTTCAAGACCCAGCTAGTGCAAGATATGTTATTGAACTGTTGTTTTGAACAAGTATTGTTCCGGAATCCTACACATTTCACTTGCCTTGTGTGACTTGACATAAGTAAAACTTAATAGCTAAATGAATCAGCACGCCATGCATAACATACTAACAGCTTACAGAAGTTGAGACATACAAATCAATGGTACCAGAAAGATCAAGTCCAATGCGTCCCACTTGAAAAATCCCTTCAAAATCTCACTTTTCATCGTCATACACCGAGAGGCTAATCCCCACCTCTCCTATATGACTTTGCATATTATCATGCGTATGCGGCCAAGATCTTGGCATATTTATTTCATGCTCAAGCTTGTATATGCAGTTTAACTACAAATTAACCCAACAAACGGTGAAGACATTCATCAGAAAGAATGTTATTCTACCGCACAGTGGAATAGAAGCCCTGGCTTAGCGGAATAAGAATTTTACGGTTTGAGGTAAGTAACAGTTTTAAATATGGTCCTGAGGGTATGGATAAATTTACCAAATTTCTATAGCTTCAGATTGAGATCAACAGTTTCTGCTACTTCAGCGTGGCAGTTGCTTTTGTTTGTTCCTTCTTGGCCGAGTTGTACCTTTGCAGATGGGAAGAATCCGAAGATGGGTTGTTGAACTGATCTGTTTAAACCTGAACATGTCTTAAGCTCTTCAGCAACTCCCTGTGGATTTAACAAATGCAGAAGATCCTTAGACCAAAATTAAGATACCAATAAGTACAGGTATCAGAACATACATAGTTAGACCTCTTGTCGCTGACCTGACAGTTTGTGGATTCCAATGTAGGTGTCTCTTGACTCTGATATGGTGAAGCAGTTGAAGGAGGAGCCAACGTGAAAAAATCTTCATTAAGAGCTCTATTTTGTCTGAAGACATTCCTTGGTTTGGACTCGGATATAGATCGTGATCCTGAAGGAACTTCTCTGGAGAAAAGTACCAAAAAAGACTCTTAGTAGGTATTTGAAACACCAAGATTATGCAACGTTCACAGGAGATATCAAACCTTTTAAGTCGATTGCCTGATTCTAAACTGGCTGTGCACTCATTGCTGCAGGAAGCTGATTCAGGCGATCTGGATGCAAGGCTAACATAGCCCGGAGGAAACTTGCAGTGAAATGCGGGGACTGGTGGATACTCTGGAGAGAAGGGATATGGCCTTTTCATGCCAACCATCTACATTACATCATTAATAATCAAAGATGTGGCCATCAATCAAAATACTTAAGTAAACCATTTAGAAATTTAGTGTTGGATATTTAGTTGTGAGCTCCACTTTGTCCCACCTGAAGTAATGGTTGGAGGACATGTTAGCTCACCAATCTATGTTTATGGACATATCGTTCACGACATAAGTTTTTATCTAGCAAGAAAATCTTCTCAAACTGAAGAAAATAAAATACCATACTCAACCTCTCCAACATCCCCTTCGCAATCAGTAATTCAGTAATTGTAGCATATGTCTCTTGGTGTTTGAATCATTATTCTTGGATAGCTTGTTTAAATGCAAGCACATAAAACTTTTTTTGAGCAATAAAGGGACAAAATTTGATCCATACTAAGTGTAACACTGGGCTGAGTGAGCATATCTTCTACAATAACAACAACAAATCTAGTGTAATCCCACAAGTAGGGTCTGGGGAGAGTAATGTGTATGCAGACCTTACCCCTACCTTATGAAGATAGAGAGGTTGTTTGCGGTAGACCCTCAGCTAGTGCGCATATCTTCTGACAGTGCGCATATCTTTTGACATGGTTATTACAGCATTTTATTGTTCTGGCTTTTGAGGCCAGAATGTCATGTCTATTTACTTTAGCAACAAAGTGAATGTCATGTCTATTTACTTTAGCAACCAACATACACAATAAAAGAATTACCTTCACTTCTTCAGGCCACAGAGGTAAATAATTACAGCATAATAATTTTGGTTTGAAGGGGGCTCCATCTGATAATTTAATACAGATGATGACGACGATGAAATCCCTGATGAGATATTCACCTGCAGTTTCCACAGTAATTCTAATCAGCATTTCAAATACATCAAACAAAAGTTTTAGACGCGCTAAGGCAATGACGATCTATATATACATCAAAGCAAATGATCAATAAGCTAGCTTACCATTGATGAAGAACAAGAAGGTTGCTGATATTGTTGTGACCTTTGCAGCACACTTGGTAGAGGCAAAATGGGGTTATGCAAATCATTAGGCAAATTTACATTTGGCCCGAAAACAACACTGTTGTGATTTCCCTGTTGGCTTTCTCTTTCAGGACTATACTCATCACTCCATAATTTAGGGGAATTATCATTCCCTGGACTCAAAACAGATGACCAACTTAACTCACATCCACTCCTTTTCAATGGTTTTGATGATTGTAAAGTCTTAGGACGAAAACCATCGATAACAGGAGCAGATGGATTTGGTCTAACGACACAATTTTTCGAAGATCGTAGATCCATTTTTGATGGTGGTGGTAAAGGGATTGAAGAAGGGTTGATTGTAGGCCTAAAAGTAGAACATTCAACTGCTAAGCATTTGGACATAGTATTGGTTGAATGCACTGAATTTGGTGTCAAAATTGAATCTTTTTTATGTTCTTCTTCTAACATCCTCTCAAGTTGAGCAACACCAAGTCCTCTTTGTGGGACTTTTTTTTGCTTCAACTTTTTTGAGGCTCTACTAGTAGCACCACCACTGCCACTTGAACCACCACCCCCACCCCCACTGCTATTACTATACCTATGAGTATGTTCCTCTATAGCCATTATAGTCCTATGCATCATATATCAAGAAAACTATATATTATATAATACTCAAGTAAAACCTAAAGGGCAAATATTTATAGACTATGTAACCATGTTACTCTTTAAGATACAGATAATCTAAGGGTTTTGAAAGAACCCCAGATGGAAAAAATTCAAGAAAATCAGAAAGAAGCCAAATTTAAAGGGAAAAAAACCCAATTCCCCATTTGTACGTTACATGAAATCTTGTGTGTCATCAAGTCAAGATCTGCAACTTAAATAACACCCATAATTCAGCAAAGATTGCAACTTTTTGAATATATATAGAATTTATTTACATAAAACGTACAAAGATTTAGTGTTAAAGCTATAAAGAGCAGGTTTAAAGGGGAAAAGGGGAGTATCTGAAAAGTTTGAATTTTTCTCTTAACCAGTTGTTTAAAGTTGTCTGAGAGACAGATCAGATCATTATAAAGGGAACCAACATTTTCAAAAAATTTAAAAGTTTAAATTGCAAATCTAAAGCATCCTATAAAAATGCTATTTCTCACATTCACTCCATCAAATTTATCGCCAAAACTTTCGGTCCACTCCTCATTTTTCCCTTCCTAGACCGACTCTCAAGTACTCCTCTTTCTCCTTCCCTCTTACCCCTCTGCTCTCTCTCTCTCTCTCTCCCCCCTTTTATTACCAAGAAATTGAATTATGATCTTTATTGTACGTTCCGATATAAAAAGTGTACTGTATAATGCCGCGCTCTAACTAGGCAAGCATTATATATTAACCTTTTATTACCGAGAGAGACATTGAATTATTATGATCTTTAATTAGACGTTCCCAAATAGAAAGAGGGTTCATTTGGTTGATTATATAGGATAATTAATTCTAACATAAATTTTTGTTTAAAATAATAGGAGTATAGTGTTTGGTTGGTCGCATAAGATAAAATAATTATTGCATAACTAAATGTTAATGCATATTATTAGCAATATAATGATTAAACTATTTAAATAAAAAAAATGCTCTCTAAAGTGAGTAATTCATGTATTACAATTAATTATTATATAATAATTCTTTCATTATTAATCAATACATGAATAATTTTGATACTATAATCCTTGCATAACTGTTATGTGATTCAAACAACCCTAAAGTATTACTTATATAAATTGGAAGGACTAATTTCTTTATGGGTTTAAGTTATTATATACATTACTATTAGCATAATTTAAGATGTCATAGAATATCAGTTATTTTATTTTCCAAATTGTATTTAGTGTCTCAAGTATCACAAGCATGAAGTCTTGATTATTTTTTATGATATTGGTACGGGGCTAGCTTGTACACGTTAACTATTGAAATAGTACCTCATATCTTGCACCAACACCAGTACAAGTATTAGGTAATTTTGTCCCCAACTCTTAGATAGATAAATAAAATTTATCTAGTATTTTATTTTCATCCGCTTGAATTTAAACCTAAGAACTCATATTTTCAAAAAATTAATTGACAATAGGAAATCTTATTCATTGCATAGTATATTGAAAATGATTGATGAACCAAATTACTTTTCAAAATTCGTTTACTAACGTGCGTTGTCAAAATCAAATGAATAAATATATAAATATGTATCATTTGTTACACACATTTTATCAGTTAATCATAATTAATCAATGTGTACTATCACTTCAATTTGTAATTGCTAAATTTGTTCATCTCGTACAAAATAATCTAATATCAATATGTTGTGAAGCAAATATATTAGGAGCCGGTACATACTTAAACCAATCAATTTAATCTTAGAAAATAAAAAATAAATTAAAAATACACGTTATTTAATCATTGTTAAGTGATGAATACGTATCTATATTCTATATTCTATATATATATATATATATATATATATATACTGAATTTGAATTAAAGTAAAAAAAAAATTTATCTTTTGCTATCATGTTATCATACTTAATTCGGTTAATGATCATATGCAATCATGTTAGGAACTTTTGTTATCTTTTAAATATTACTTTACATCTGGCAAAGTAAAATAAATATTAGTCCAAATAACACAAATTTTTTACCTGGCTAGTGTCCGCGCATCCGTGCGGGTGCTAATACTAGTATATAAAAAGACACATGCTTTGTTTTTATTGATTTAACGTAAATATAAAAAAAATTCTACATAGAAGCTTCAATATAAAATCTTAACAAGATCTGGTCAAAATAATCAATATAGTTGGGAAGATTCTTGTTCTGTTGTCCATATTACAAGATTTTCCCGTTACAAAATTTGTCCATATTATCTGTAATTTAAGATTTTGCGCTCCTCTTAAGTAAGTTTTTACTCTTAATCATAAGAGTATTTAAATAAGATACCTTTTACCTCTCTCTTAAATGTCATACTTAATTAACATTCTACTAGCTAGAGCAATAGTGCTAGTTTGAAAAAAGAGTAGTATTCCGTTCGTCCCAAACACATTTTGTTTCTCGAGAGTTAATTTGACTAATTTTTTAAGTTAAATTGAATTAGATTAACTCAATACTTTAAAATTAAAATTTAGATATTCAAAACTATACGAAAAGTACTACAAATTATAATTTTTTTCATAAGTCAATCAAACATAACAACAACAAAACCCAGTATAATTTCACAAGTGAAGTTTGGAGAGGGTGTTAAGTATGTAGCCTACCCCTACCTTGTGCACGTAGAAAGATTGTTTCCTATATATCCTCTGCTCAAAATAAACATGCAAAATTATAACAGTGTAGAAAAGAAATGCAGTAATGTAAAAGTTGAAAATATAGTAATAATAACAAGATAATAGAAAAACCAAAATACAAGCAATACGATAAGAATATATATTTTAAATTATTATTCAAAGTACACAAAATTTAATTTTCAGAAGCGAAATATGACAATAATTTGGGAATGGGAGGAGTGATTTTTTTTTAATTTAAATTATTTAAGATGTCCAATATATTAAAACAGAGACGACAGCTATTTAGTGGAAGCAGAAACATAACATTGTGATGAATGATTTCCTTGTGTTATGAATATATTATATAATGGATGTTCATTTAGTACTCTGTTGTAAATAAGCTTCCTAAAGAAGTTTATCCATATGAGACTCCGCCATAAATATATTTATCTATTTAGTACTCTATTGGAAATAAGCCTCCTGAAGAAGCTTATCCTTTCGGTACTCCGTTATGGATAAATATTACCCATGATAGAAGATTATCTATATCTGGCACAACAGTTTAGAGCAGCAGCTTACAAGCAGCTTACAAGTAGCTTACACAGCAGCTTGCAGTAGCAGCTTACACAGTAACTTGCAGTAGCAACTTCCTTTCTTCTATAAATAGAGGAGAATTCAGTTCATTATGTACATAAGTTTGAAGT